ATGCTAGCTGTTAATTTGTGCTGAAATAGTTGGTTCCAAAAGTCATTTGTCTTGAAAGTAAGAGATCAACATACTTTAGTTGGTTATTTAGGAGAATAAACAAGGACAAGCTGTTGTACTGTTGGGTTTAAAATGCATGCATTGAACCTTTCTATCAGAGAAAAGTAGTCATTACAAGACTTCTACAGTGTCACAAAGACAAAATGGCTGAAAAAAAAGCTGTTGAGATCAATTAATCTGAAAGGTTGCAAACTATTTATAAGGTCCTTTGACACTGAACCAAATGGTGGCTATGTTACTTCTCAAATGAGAAGACTCTGAAAACTATTGAATATTCCCAGAAGTGGCTGACCAGCTCAAATTTCTCCAAGGGCACAACAACAATACCTCATTTGGGAAGTCAAATCCCAGAAAAGCTTTCAAAGAACTGCAGATATTTCTTTCATCTCTGTCGAGATTATAGGCAGGACCTGGAGACCATAGTTCTCGAAGTCCAACCTGTCACAGTTTGAGCAGTTCAGCTTTAGGCTTATTTACAATTGCACGTGATGGTTAGTTAGTTACAGCACTAGCCTACACCTAGATGTTGACTTTTTTTAAGGTGACATGACAGTTAACTACAAAGAACTAACTTGATATTAAAATAATGCAATTTTCTTTACATAGTTTCCCTTCATTATATATACACAGTATATAGTAATAAAGAATATCATGATGAGTGTTATGACCTGAATCAACATATGTTTAAATGAAGACACATGTTTAAATATCTAGGCTTTGTTGAAGCATAATTCAAATTCAAATAATTATTTGGTTTAACAAAAACAGACTTCTGTTTTCATTTTCTCCTTTAGTGTTAACCTTTAAAATTATTGGCAAACTTTACTAAAAATGAATCTTATCTAAAATAAATAAATAAATCAAATGAATTCTCCATGACTAAACTCCATGACTAACACAAACCAGGAGAAACATACAACAAAATTAAGGAAAACTGAAGAAAACAGGAAATACATCAAGGAGCGTAGTCTAAGAATCAGAGCTAGATGTTAAATAAACATAGCATAAGAAAATCTAAATAATAATTCAGCTCACTCAATAGCTCTGTACTTCAGCAAGGCTTGCCACACAGGAGATTTCATCATGCTATTTTATTTTTACGAAAAGGATGGAATGTGAGATTTGGGAGCAGAATAGAAATATTGAATACTCAAAAACCAGATTTTTTATTTATTTATATATTATGTATGTCTGGTATTCTAGGCCAACTGTTAATTTTTCCTGAGAGATCAGATGAATTGACCAGAAAGACTGTGAAGGAACGGTAGAACAAAATAATGTATCTGCCCTCAGGCTCTGTTTCCATGGAAATAAAGATTAGACGTATACATCAAAGAAGGCAGGGAATGGACCTAACAATTTCAACCATCCTCTTTTTCTCACCCTTGTTCTAAATGACAAATTGCTACGAATGCTTTTTAAATGGGCAAGATCCACTTTTCTACACTGTAACTAGAAATTCAGAGTCCCCAGGTCTTATTAAGGCATTCTCCATCTACCTCAGGGCTCCATTAAATGCTTAAAGGTACATTTAATCATTCTTTTCTCCTAGAATCCATTAAGGGTATGTGGTATATAAGGGATAATGAGGTCTGTCCATTTCTAGAGTGTGTTTAATAGAGGTTGGTGTCAAACCTGCATCACTCAGAGGGCCAGTGAAAAGAAAAAAATAAGTAAAAAAGTGAGTAAGTGATGCTTTAAAAAAAAAACTTGATTAATCAGATTAAAGTTGTCGGATAGGTTATATATAATTGTTTGTTTGGAGGGGGCTGCAAGTGACACATGGTCACCCACAACCAACCTTCTGCACATTCATGCGGCCTCATTAATTCTGTCATTCTCCGTGCGGATTGGAAACTTTTTATCTTTATTTTGTGTTACTTATGAGCTTTACACAAAGTTACAAGTAAAGTGTACAAGTTGCACAATACATTACATGAGTGGTTGCCTACTGATGAACCAAAACCCAAGAGCTCATTCTGATCTGATCATGAACTAGTCTGGTTCAGACAGCAGATAAATAATACTAAATGCAATACTAAATGCAAAAACAAAAAAAACATGCGATGAATACTTAGAGAAGCAAAATAATATCGCTTAAAGACAGAAGGTAGTTCATTATTTTGGTGCAAATTCATCTGTCACTTGGTAGAATCTAAATGAATTAGACAGGAGTCAGCATCAACAGGTTGTGTGACATGCACTCAATCCTCAAAAACCATGACTTTACAAGTTAAAGGAAAATATGAAGAGTTTGGTTCCAAAACGCTATAAATCCATTTTGATTAATTTGAGTAAAAATGTGTTTTCTTTACCAAGAAAGTGGCAAGATGAAAACCACTATTTTCTGTTTCAAACTTTCACATAGCATCTTTAGATTATAATAACATTAAACATTGAAAATTGATTTTCAAAGATTTATTATAAAATTGTATTATTATTTTCCCAAAATGCAATAAATCCATGACACTTTTTTTTCTTCAAAATGCAATAAATCCATTGAATCAGTATAAAAGTTATTTTTTCATATTGAAACTGTTGAAAATACACAACATAGTAAGTTGATCCACATATGACAACCTCTGAACTTGGTCAATACTAATCTTATATGCAGGCACTGGACTAAAAATACATTCAATCAGTCAATTTATCGTGCAGCCCGAAGTTTGTTTGTTGATCACAAAGTACAAAATAGATGAGGAAAACTAGGATGCGGGTGTATTCAGAGCGCCGCCATTATTGTCTAAAGTGCGTGGGATGGTGCGCTGTGATTGGTTGTTACTGTCTAGAGTGCATGGAATGGTGCGCTGTGATTGGTTGAGCGGATATATCGCATTCTGCAGAAAAGGGAGACTGGTGTTTGTTTGGAAAAAAAAATTGAGAAAATATGACAGAATAACTCGGCGGATATCGCATTTTGCGTAAAATAAAAAATGTACTTTTCAATACCGACCAGATACAATACTGATTTTGGCGGAAACTAATTTTTTTTTTAAATGGCATTTATCGGGTTTTGGAACCAAACTCTTCATATGGACCAGTCCACATTAATAGCGGTTGATCCATAAATCTGGAGCTATTGGACCTATGCAGACAATCTAATGTTAATCAAATTGCAGGCATTGGAAGGCCTGTAAATGGTTGAAATTGAAAAGAGATATTAGGCAGCAGTTCCCAACCAACTTTAGTTAACCCTTGTGCGGTCTTCGGTCACTTCTGATCGGAGAATTTTACATTTAGAATTTTTAAAAATCGTAGAAAAATCTGGCTTCACCAGAATGGTACGAAACTTGGTGACTTTTATGGCACTTGGTATGTGAACACAAAAAATAAAATAAAAATTGAGGGCATGATTCGAAAAAGCTAAGTGGTCATAAAAAAAATAGTCACACTCATGATCTTCGTTCAGAAATGACCGACCATAGGAAATGAATGGGAAATGGGGAAAAAAAATCGAAAATACAGAAAATATTTGTGTGTACAATCTATATAGTCACACTCATGATCTTCGTTCAGAAATGACCGACCATAGGAAATGAATGGGAAATGGGGAAAAAAAAATCGAAAATACAGAAAATATTTGTGTGTACAATCTATAAATCCCCCACAATGCAGAAAAAATTACACAGCAATGAAGGGGTGAAACTCTAAAACATCTAGAGTGCAAAATCAACACACCAACTCACACACGCGCAGACACACACTTGAACACACACACACCTATGAACTGGTGTGACTGTAACACTGCAACTATGTAAAATAAAATAAATAATTCAACTCCAATGCAGTAAAAAGTGGACAGCAAGAAAGGGTTACACTCTAAAACATCAAGAGTGTAAAACATGACCATGTCTCTGTCTTCTCCACAATAAAAGCTTTGCGAATGGATCCGCACATCTCACGTCTCGTCAGCCCTGTAACAAACAGATACATTTACGCACACACATTTTAACAATTTAAGTCCACTTAAAAGAAATAACTTACAGGGACATAAATATTATAGATGTGGTTATATACATGTACAAAATCATGGACCAATGGCATGCAACAGGTCTTCACAATATTAAGCATATCACTCAGTTGTTATGGGTATAAATAACAGCATCTACGCCATATATGACGGCTGCCTGTGATAGAGGACAAAGCACAGTAGCCGTTTAACCCTCTTTTTGGGCATCCCAAGTTGTTGAAGCCCTCTTACAACCAGCCCGTGTGTGTGTGTCCTAAGCTGCCAAATATAAAAACAAGTAGTCGGCCTCTATAAGCTATCTCTGAAATGGTATTTAGGAGTGGTTGATATTTAATGACTTTATTCATGAAAGCTTCCTCCATAGTCAAAGGTGCATGCAACCTCCAAAACAAACACCTCTCTAATTACTCACGACAACATCTGGTGTATTAGCAGACAGGCATGAAAAGATTTCAGAGTTACTACTACAATACTGAAACAGATGATTTTACACAAGAATGTTTGTAAATTCTTACTAAAGGTGGTAAATGGTTTGATATGTCTTTTACTATCAGGTCCACTATTCTGTCGTGGCGTGCTATGTACATTCCTTTGTAAGCATGGCAGCCGTTCAGGATATGTGGCAATGTTGCAGTGATCTGTTCTGTAGTGTGATGCAAACAATGAGGAACCTGAGTTGTAGGAAACCAGATAGAAAGGTTGAGTCTAGTAGGAAGAACTTGTAATCTGGCTTTTACTGTGAAAATGGCAATGTCCTCACTGAGTGCAGTATTCTTGAGAAATGAGTGAGAAACAGAATGATCAGCAGAGGGAAGACTCGCAAGTTTTCCCTGAAGGTTCAGTCCAGTCCAGTGTTGTTTTTGGTGATACTGATGTAAACTGATGAGTTCGCCGGGCACCTGCGGATGTTAGCGGGTGGCTATATCCACTGACTGTGGCTGTTGCTCTGTCATAAGTCTGGGGGTCAGTGATGATATCCTCTGAGACTCTCACACTCTCAGAGTCAGACCGAGCCCACTCCAGCGATACTCCAGTTCTTACACGGAGATCATTCAGGTCCGGCCAGTCTGACCAGACACCAAAACCAGCAGAGTGGGTATCAAGTTTCCCGCTGGGTTTTCTTTTGAAACCAAGGAAGTGGGGATCTGACTCCCTGGCTAACGGCACCTTGCTTCTCCTTAGGTCCAGGAACAGGAAGGATCAAGCCATCTCCCTAACATCTTTGTCATCATTATTCAGCATGTTCAGAAGGTGGGAAATCCGCATGCTAGAATAAATCCATATCATGTTTGGTAACCCCAACCCTCCTTCCCATTGGGGATGAAAAATAATGTCACGAGTGCTATGTGTATTTAGTTCAAACCACTTTCGCACTAAGCTCACTGTTTTGTTATTCATTTCGCTCAGCACTTTCTGCTGGATATGAACGCTGGAGAACAGATGTTGTACTTTAGACAGTGCCACCTGTCTAATAGCCTCCAAGGTATAGGTTTTTTTGCTACTGTAAACACTGGACATTTATCAGATTTTGAGCAGTACCACCTGTTCCCCCCACTCCTCCTCTCATACAGAACAGCACATTTTGTGTCCTTAATCTCCAGGCCTGACCATTTCAGAAAAGAATCTGTTCTGGCTAGCATGTTTTTAATTACGCTCTCTTCTCTGGACTTCTCTTACTTACACACACTCACAGACACACACATACAGAATTATACATACTCAAATGAATTGGTATGGCTATAACCATATAGCCAAAATGAGTTAGAAGACTGAAATAAGAGGTTAAAATCAGATCAGACCCAGAAGAATTAAGCTCTGATAAAGCATTCCTGTTAATTTTTCTTACATTTTTATAGAATTTTAATGTTTTGTATAACAAAATGCTTTGTGTTCAGGTTTGAATGTAGTAATAATAATGCAAAAACCTACACTTCAAATCAACATTTAAAACAACAAAAAATATAAGCCTTGACAAAAAGTAGTCTTTGAGAATGCCTTAATATACATTTAAATCCACAACCTAATAAAAGTAAACAATTATGTATAAAAACAACTAAGTAATTCACAAGCCTCTCTATATACAGGAATCTAGTGGTTACACCTTGAAATTACAGGACTTTTTTTCTCTCACCAGGAGGTGCTATTCTTCCTTCAAAAATTGGATTTTAAAGGCCTAGGGCCCTATCAGACACCCGGCTCAATGCGGCACAATGCGGTCTCAAGTGTTTTTGCTAGTTTCAGCCTGACGCATTTCTAATGTTCCCATCCTGCACCGCGTTGTTTAATAGCAAATGCATTTGTGCCCATTTGTGTGCCCATGGGCGTGCTGGTCTAAAAAAGAGGTGTGTTCAGGCGCATTGTTACGTTGCTATTTTGAGGAACTGAAAATAGACTGCACCATAGACCAACTCAAACCTGGTCTAAAGTCTGGCGCAATATTTTTTCTTTGCTATTTAACGCTTTGCTTATTACTCACACAGGGACGCGCAGCAGCCCACAAACATTTTTGATAATTTAAAATTAAATTCCGCTGTGTAAATAGCGAATCTGTCATGGCGCGAGCGCAACTGGCTTTTAAAGGGGATGGGAGATGAGACTCTGATTGGTTTATGGCACGTTACGCCCAAAAAAATGGCATGGTTTATGGCACGTTACGCGCCGACCGTTTTCCCATCGTTAAACTAGCAAAAGTGGATTCAGATACACCCTGAGTGCACCTGCGCAGTGCGCTTTAGACCATGGGCTTAGATCATTAAAATAGTGCCCCTAGTCTCTATTTAAAAAAAAAAAAAAAAAGTAATATTTTCAATGGGAAAAATGTATCATAATTATTGCATAAATTTTAATTAGTACTTTAAAATTCTCTCAAAATACAAAAGAGAAAATATTATTGAATACAAATATATTAGATTGTTTAATACACTAATGTATGCATGTATACTGTAATTTAAACAAGTCGCTTTTCATAAAAGCATCGGTCAAATAAATGAAAAATGCTTAATATGGGACTCTGCAGGTATTGCATTTGACACAGGTCTCTGAAATTCTCGTGATTACAGTTATTTTACTTGACTCCTTAGGTGGCATGTCAGACCACTAAATAAATAATTTAATAATAATAATGATAATTAAAAAAAACAGACAATGTTTTCACAAATAGCTTATTTTTAGTTGACTCACCACATTGAACACAATTACACATTGATTTCCAGTGTAGTTAGAACCCACTGTCAATGTACTTCTTAATTCATCATAATAAGAAGGTTGTCACACTGAATTTATAACTGCATTGTTGTTATATAATTATTAGATTAGTGTATACATAAACTTTGTCATCTAGCACATAAACTTTCCTGCTTACTGTAACACTTAGTATTCCACCAGAAAAGCTCAATGTCAGCAGTTTAATTCTTTAGACACATATAGAGGTCTGTTTTGAATGAATATGGCATCATGTAATGATCAATAGATGTAATAAAATTATGTGTCTCTGCAGGCTGTGTCATTACTATTTCCGGCCGAATGACCTTCACCAGTAATAAGTCAATGGAGATTGAGGTTTTCGTAGACGCTGACCCACTGGTGGAGGCTGAGAAGGGAAAATATAGGGCTGTCACAGCCTTCTTCACCTACATCTCCCTGGACAAAGACAACAAGCCCCTTCCAGTGCCACCACTGAAGGTGAGTAATGCAGAGCTTAAATGTACTGTGATATAGGAATATTGATGAATATGCCAAACTTCAAATCAAGTTTTAGTGTAAGAAGCGCTGTCAAAATCATCACAATTAAAAGAACCTAAGACTTAAACTACTTCATTCTGTGTGCATTGAATTTATTTAATACACGAGTTTCACAATTTGAGTTGAATTACTGAAATAAATGAACTTTTCCACGATATTCTAATCTATTGAGATGCACCTGCATTCTTGTGCATGAGACTTGGTGACCTACCTTTTAAGAATTTTTTTTTTCTAACATGAGGCAGCACAAAACACTATGGATGATTATTTGAAATTGTCTTCATGAGGGTGATGCTTTCAGTCCTTGGTCTTTCAAACAGGGGTGTAAAACACTTGAGTAATTTTACTTGATTACTGTACTTAAAGGGGTAGTTCACTGGGTTTTTTCTAGGCTTGATTGTGTTTATAGGGTGCTGTCTAACATGTCTTAATGCTTAGTTAAAAAAAAAAAACACATTATTTTTCACATAATTTACCTTTATTCCACACCACTCTGTCCCTTCTTTGAGAAACGGGCTGGTCTTCCTGTTTTTTTCAGAAATAGGCGATGGGCTCTGATTGGTTCGCTAGTCCAGTGTGTTGTGATTGGCTAAACCGCCTCTAGTGCGCGTCTGAACGCGTGTCCATGTTTAATGCTTCTCTTAGCTATGTGAAAATAAGTGTATAATTGGAACAGTTCATTGTTGGAGCTGAGCTGAATGAGAGAGAGAGAGAGAGAGAGAGATGCAGAGCGTGTGCAGAGCAGGGGGACGCGAGGAACAGTATTAAGAACCGCTGCTTTAGAACATTGATTTTGAAACTTGTGAATCCATTAGAATCGTTAGAAGACAGAATCGTGATTCATATATGAATAGATTTTCACGTGCACCTCTAGTTTTCTCTTCCTCTTCTCTAAAGCAGTGCAGCATGGCCTTGCCCCCTTTGCTGCCTTTTCCCGAGAGTGGGGTTTATCAGGGTTTGTGACATCACGAACCCGGGAAGTAACTCGTTGTAGTCCCTACCAGCCGTTTTTGTAGGCATTAAACTGCCAGAACGATTTCTCCGTTTGCGTTGAACTTTCAGCTTCGTAACTTTGCATATATTGTTAATGCTCAAACAGCAACATTACACACTAACTAACGTTAAAAAAGTGAAATCACCATCAACCACCCCTTTAAGTATTGTTTTGGGGGATTTGTACTTTATTCCAGTACAATTTAAACTGACTACTTGTACTTTTACTTGATCACAGTAAAAAAACATTACTAATATTACGAGAACCAGGGAAGTTTGTTTTCATGCATCAAGCGCACACATTTCAGCTTTAGTTATAACTTTCATCAGGGAAATTTATTGCTCAAAAGTTCACCATTAAATCTGAGTTTCATTATTTATATCTGTTTTTATATAGTCATTAGCTGTCTATGTAGTGTATTGTCTGAATGCGCAAGACTGAGTACAAATAAAATCAGTGATGAGAATTTAAATACAACTAATATTTTGGTGGCCATGATTATATTTTTTTAATGAATTGTTGCAAATCAGTGTGAACACTGTATAAATTAATTGTAAATCATGTTTAATGATGTTCTTATCAGGGAGTGAATTAATTTTATAATGATAGATTGATTAACAATTATGACTGACTGTCAGTTAAATTTTTTTTCATCATTTATTTCATGATGTGCTCATTAACTAATTAATTGCAAATACCTACATGCCAACATTTACTGAGAAAAACACACTAAATAAGATAAATCAACATTTAAAAGATTATTTATTGTTGCAGACAGGGGCATTGAATAGACAAATGGCTTTAAAAGTAAATATTGTATCATATATTTTGTATAATCAATGATAATTTCCTCACCCTCATGCCATCCCAGATGAATATGACTTTCTTTTTTCAGATGAACACAAACAAACATGTTTAGTGCACATAATGTACATGTATGCCACCACTTCAAAAACCACACAAAGGGAACCCAAGTTCAAAATATTTGTATTTTTCTTACACATGCCTATCATTTTACTTCAGAAGACACTGATTCATCAACAGGGGTTGTATGGGTTACCGTCATATTCACTTTGTGTACTTTTCTCAGTGTCATCTTTGAATATCCCATACACTTGCATTATATGCAGAGAGATGGATTACGATTACCCTTGTGTGTGTTCATCTGAAGAAAGAAAGTCATATACAAACCCGATTCCAAAAAAGTTGGGACACTGTACAAATTGTGAATAAAAACAGAATGCAATGATGTGGAAGTTTCCAATTTCAATATTTTATTCAGAATACAACATAGATGACATATCAAATGTTTAAACTGAGAAAATGTATCATTTTAAGGGGAAAATAAGTTGATTTTAAATTTCATGGCATCAACACATCTCAAAAAAGTTGGGACAAGGCCATGTTTACCACTGTGTTGCATCCCCTCTTCTTTTTATAACAGTCTGCAAACGTCTGGGGACTGAGGAGACAAGTTGCTCAAGTTTAGGAATAGGAATGTTGTCCCATTCTTGTCTAATACAGGCTTCTAGTTGCTCAACTGTCTTAGGTCTTCTTTGTCGCATCTTCCTCTTTATGATGCACCAAATGTTTTGAAATATTTGGCATGACATTTCAAAATGTCTCACTTTCAACATTTGATATGTTATCTATATTCTATTGTGAATAAAATATAAGTTTATGAGATTTGTAAATTATTCCATTCCTTTTTTACTCTCAATTTGTACAGTGTCCCAACTTTTTTGGAATTGGGTTTGTACATATGGGATGGCATGAAGTTGTTAAGGATGGAGTTTAAGGGCTGTTTTGTGTGTGTCTGTGTGTGTGTGTGTTCCACTGTGCTGCATTTTTCTGCAATAATTTTTGTTGCACTAGATAGATGTATTTGACCGGTACGTCTACCTGATGTTTTGGGCACTTAATTGCATGTGAATTGGAATTAAATGCAAATAGTTTACATTTATTTTAAATGCAATTACAGATGAAGAGTTTTTTAATCCACTTAAGTAAGATTTAAGTACATCTTTATATGTTATCTTACAATTGGTAACTAAAACCTTCGGTGAAAGTTACCAGATGAAAATTGTGAGTCTGATTACAGTGAACCCAACACTGTCCAAAAAGACTATGGGCCCCATCATACACCCGGCGCGCCGCAAGTGTTTTTAACGTTGTTTAAATAGCAAATGCATTTGCGCCCATGGGCGTGCTGGTCTAAAAAAAAGGTGTGTTCAGGCGCATTGTTGGCGCGTTGCTATTTTGAGGAATTGAAAATAGACTATACCATAGACCAACTCAAACCTGGTCTAAAGTCGGGTGCAATATTTTTTCTTGGTTATTTAAAGAGCGCGTTAGTAATATGCGCCTATAGATGGGTGCACAACGCGCGTACACTTTGCTTATTACTCACACAGGGATGCGCAGCAGCACACAAACATTTAAAAAAATTAAAAATTACATTCCTCCGTGTAAATAGCGAATCTGCCATGGCGCGAGCGGCGCAACTGGCTTTTAAAGGGGATGGGAGATGAGACTCTGATTGGTTTATTGCATGTTACGCCCAAAAAACACCCATTACTCATTAAGAGAATAGGGACAACCTGTTTAGACCATGCGCCCGGGCGCGCCGACCGTTTTCCCGTCGTTAAACTAGCAAAAGTGGATTCGGACACGCCCTGAGTGCACCTGCGCCGTGCGCTTCAGACCATGCGCTTAGATCATTAAAATAGGGCCCAAAGTGCTGAAGTTTATGGTTAACCCTAATGAGCAGTTTCCTTGTGTTTTATATAGTTTGTAATTTTTATTATATAATAAATATTTTGGGTCATGAAATGAACTGCAAATGATATGCTAAAACTTGTGCCCCAAGACCCTCATGAGCACATGACTTATGCAACAAATAAAGCATTTACATAAGAATGACCTCAGTCAGATATTCAACAGAAGGCCAATAAATCATCATTTTGGCTGTAAGCAGGCATGTAGAGACACCTCTGATATGGTAGTGACAGAAGGTAAGCTCCATAGGTGCTGGCATTCTCAGCTCTCTACTGAAAACTCATGATAGCCACATTGTGCAGCATCAATACACAACTCTCAACCCACTCTCAGTTGTTTGTGCACACTGAGTAAAGAATCAGTCTGTAGTCAATTTGATGGCTAATCCCAAAAATTATCACCAGTTTTTTATTTAATTTAATTTTTTAATGTAAATTTATTTTCTTAAAATGACCATGCTTTTCAAAATGTAGGATTTCAAAATGTTTAACATCGCCATTATTTATGTTTCTTTTTTTTCCACACTTGAAAAAAAAAACTTGAAACATTGTTTTAAGTAATCAATCAATCATTCAGTACAAACTAATAAAATAACGACAAAAGACAATAAATTAATAAAATAATAAAATAAACCTACCAGTAATATAAGTAGGCCTACAAGCAATATACATTTATTGCTATGTCCAGTCAGTCTGTGTCTAGGTGAGGTAAGTGTTCAGGAATGTGAAAGAATGCAGTCACATGTAAAATAAAACCACTTAAATGTATCATTGTCATCATTTTTGATGAAGATAATATGCTGCTGCATAATATTTTACTAAATAAAGCTGATAAATGTATACATCAGTGCAGTGAGTTGTGTTCATTGTGTTGTCTTGTCTTGCAAAAGAACGTTTTGATAGACTGATTAGGAGAGGAGCAAGCAGTTCTCCTGGCCTCCCTCTCCTTTGAATGACTTTACTGGTACCCAGATTTGTTTTCCCCAGCATTTTCAGTCAGTCTCACTTCCACTGTAACCTTATTTCTAACTTCAACTGTCCTCGAAGCAGCCTCAACTCTGATTGGTTCTGTTCACTAGCTGGGGTTGGACCTGTGATTTTATTGGGTCCCTCTCCTCTTTGTAGCTGACTGAGTTGAAATAATGAATAATGATCAGGCTAAACCATTT